ACCTGGGCTGCCAGCAGCGGAGCACGCGCACTTTACCGCCATGCCACTGGGCCGGCCCCAATGACTTTAAACTTCTTGCAGCTCCCACTGAGTTGTTCAGGCAGCCCTCCTCTCTGCAGGGGTAACCTTTAGGGGCTGATCTGAAGGGACCCAGAGGCACAGCATAGTATCTCAGCAGCCAGGGGCCTGCTTGCAGGCTTGTCAGCCAAGGCTGTGGCTCTGTGTCAGGGTCTTTAGCTCATGTCTGCTGGAGCTGCTTCCCTCAGATCATGATCAGCACTTTCACCCAATGCAGGGAAGACTTTTCTACCAATCTGAGCCCCCTCAGGTGGTAGTGAGCTGTCCCAGAGGGGTGTAGTCAGAGGCTGCAGGGGCTGGGCATAATGGTCAGGCCCTCTCTCTTAGGTTGACAAAGCTCTAGAGAGCACCTACCACACTCCCAGGGAGGCAGAGTGTGGTAGGATTAAGGGCAGAAACACCACGAAAAAACCCCCTGCTACTGTCCACACAGACACATGGACTTCCTGCCTGTCTACTGTTTCTATCTGCCCTCTGGAGCATGAGGACAGGAACCTTGTCCCTATCCCCAGCTCAGTCTTGATTCATGACAGTTGTACTGAATGAGAGGAGCTCACATTTGGAAATCCAGGTGCTTCCTATAACTTCTTGCTGGTGGCCCTGTCCCTATGGGGGGGTAGGTCTAAAGGGTTGCTCCAGGCGGCCTTGTCCCTTATTTCCCTCTCTCTGCTCATGAGGTGGCCCTTCTTCCCTGGGTCAGCTAGAGTCCCTGCAGTTTGCACCTCTGTCCTTCCTGTTTCTTTAAGGAATGGAGGGACAGCTGCAAGTCTCTGCTAGGCAGCCTTCCCCTTCCCCTCTGGCTGAGGAGGGCCCTGGGGCTCCAGGGATGACCTCAGTACCAGCTGCTTCCAGGAGCAGGAAGGAGAATTGTTTACAGGTTTGTAAGTTTCATTAGCAAGTGGAGGGGAAGCTCCCAGATGCCTGGAAGATCTGGGTTTGCAGCCAAAATCAGGCTTGCTTGCTTGGGCTTGGGACTGTGGCTGCCTGAGACTGGGCTCTGAGCAGAGCTTGGGGGCAGCAGACCATCGCACTCATTGGCTTTGAATGGCCTCTTCCATAGAACCTCAATATAAGAAAGTGATAAAAGCGGAACTGCTTTGGGTGAAGAGAAGCTGGAGTCTGCCCTGAAGCCCAGGTAGCCCCAGTGTACCTCCCTGAAACCATGAAACAGTTTGAAACTGGGTTTTAGCTCAATCTTCCACGTGAAGATGAGAAACTGAAGCTCAGAGCAGGGGAAGCAACTTGCCTAAGATGTCCCAGTGTCAGAGCTAGGAGTCACTCCCAGGTGTACTGACCCTGGGCCTGGGTTCCTGCCACCTCCCACTGCTGCTTGCAAGAGAGGTGGGAGCAGGTCACAGACAGGGCTGTCAGACCCTAAGCTGGTCGGGAATTTGAGTCGAGTCCACAGCTGGCTGAACAGCTGGAAGAAGCCAGTGGTTTGAAGGCCTTGGTGGAGGCAGGTGGTTGGACAGGGAGAGAGACGGACAGACACAAGACAACAGCAGACAGTCAGACAGGCAGGCAACAGCCCAAGTTGGACACCTACTCTGTGGGAGGCTGGAGGCCCTCTAGATTTCAGCCCAAACTTGGGTGCAATTAACTACGTTTGTTTGGTCCCCAGTTGAGGCTGTGTGCTCACAATCAACTTTAGGGAAAAAGATGATATGTTTTCTTTGGAGATGCTTATCTCGAAGGGAGGGAGAGCTGTCTTCCCCATCTCTTTCTGTTAATAAAACAGCTCTTATTTTAATAAATATCCAAGCCCTCCAGCAGACAGTTCACAGGAAAGAAATACAGAAGATCAATAAACGTGAAAAATTGCTCAAGTTTATTTGTAATTAAAGCAATATAAATTAAAGCAACAATGAGAGAGATATCATTTTTCACCCAGCATAATGATGCCTTTTAGAAAGTTTCATAATATCTTCCATTGATAAAGCTGTGAAGAGACCAGCACTTTCTTCCCTTTGATGAAGTCCCACTTGGCACAGCCTCTTTAGAGGGGACATTGACAATGTCTGTCAATATTGGTCAAAATTGCCAACATACATATCCTAGAACCCCACATTTCCACTTTTAGGCACCTGCTGGACAAAAACATTTACACATGTATGCAGAGAGGCCTGTCCAGGAATGCTCACTGCTACATTGTTTATAAAAGTGAAAAGCTCTAGACACCCAAAATATCCACGAGCAGGTCCATAAACAAGGGTGCAGCTGTGCAGCAAAATACTGTGCTGTGTTTAAAAGACATGAGGTAGATTTGTTCTGACATAGCAGATCCCCAAGGCATACTGTTCACCTAAAAAAGTAAGTTGCAGAACAGCATGTACCTCAAATGTACGATCTCATTTGTGTAACACACTGCAAATATATACACACACATCTTAGCCCGATGTTCTCTGGACTCCTTCTTCCCCTTCCTAGAGGCATGTCTAACCTCCTGGGTGGGAAGCACTTCGGGCTCCGTTGTCCTCTTCTCTGGGAGCCTTCCACTGGGGTCTAGGTCTTTGCAGCCCACCACTTTCACTTGGCCATGGGCCCCCATAATGCTTGGCAGATCTTTCTGTGTCCAGAGTTCTCCAGCCCTTCCGGCCCCCGAAGTTGGCATGCCAGACAGTGGGCCCTTTTTGAAGAGTTTGAGGTGAGACTTTGGGGCAATTTCAGAAGGAAATTATAATATTGGAGGGAAAAGGTTAGCATGCTAGAGAGACATGCTAAGGGACAAGTTCAAAGTCACACAGCAAATTCTCTCTCCCACCACCCAGCCATCCTTGGTGCCCAATCCAAGAGAAACAGGCATGCTAAGGTGGTGAAATGCCCGAGTTTCTGGCTGGCATTGGGGGCCTAGGGATTGGGAAGGAAGTCTCCCCACCCTCTTTGCTTGACTTTAGGTGGTGGGTTCCTTTGCCAGCAGAGGGCAGTGCCTCTGCATGTACCTGGGCCCAGTGTCCCAGTGCCCAGGAAGCCCCAACTAGTCAAGGACAGTTGGCAGTCAGTGGAGAATCTGATCTGAGATCAATAATGGAAGGTCTTGCCAGCTCTACTACCTTGAGTGCTCTCACAATTCAGCCACGATTTGGGGAAGGGATTGTTAACTCCATCGTCCAATGGGGAGACTGAGGCCCAAAGGAAGGAAAGACTTGCTCAAGGTCAAATCTTGAGATCATGGCAAGGATGGACAGGGCACAGGGTTGCCAGATAAAATACAGGATACCCAGTTAAATGTGAATGTCAGATAAACCATGAATAATTTTTTAGTGTAAGTATGTCCCAAATGTTGCACAGAGCACACTTACACTAAAATATTATTTGCTGTTTACTTGAAATTCAAATTCAATTGGTGTCCTGTGTTTTTATTTGCTCAATCTGGCAACACTAGCCTGGCAGAAAGCAATGGCTCCTGCTTCCCAGGCTCCTAAGTGCCACAGAGCACACTTCTATGCTCCTAAGGTGGCGCTCCGGAAAGCTCGGGTTTCATCGCAGCAGCTGTTGCACTGGAGCTGGGAAGGGCTTCTTTGGGGCCCTCAGGAATGCAGGCCGGGCCTATGTCAGCTCTGCTCTGAAGAGCTTGGTCCCAGTGCTGGACAGGTGGGGCCAAGGTGGGAGACAGGCAGCCCAGACCATACCACCCTCTCTAAGCAAGTCCCGGCCCCTCCCTTTCCTCTCCATCACTCTTTCCTTCCTTTCTTCCTCTTTCCCTCCCCTCTTCCTCCTCCTCCCCCTGTCTTGTCCCAGCTGTGCTTGGTTCCTTTTAGAAATAGCCTCCTCTACCCCCAGGGGCTCTTGGGCTGTTCCCAAGAGCTGAGGGGTCACCTTTGGTGGTTCTATCAGTGAGGGATCTCCAGAGAAACAGAACCAATAGGATGTATGTATGTATGTATATGCATATGTATGTATGTATGTATATGCATATGCATGTACATGTACATATGTGTATGTATATAGAGATTTATTTTAAGGAATTGGCTCTTGCCATTGTGGGGTTAGCAAGGCCAAAATTTTCAGTGCAGGCCAGCAGGCTGGAATCTTAGGCAAGAGTTGATGCTGCAGTCTTGACCAGAATTTCTTCTTCTTTAGCAAACCTCAGTCTTTGCTCTGAGGGCCTTCCAACTGATTAGATGAGGCCCATGCACATTGTCAAGAGTTAATAATGGCCTTTACTTAAAGTCAACTGATTGTAGGTGTTAACCACAGCTACAAAATACCTTCACAGCAATACCTAGATTAGTGTTTGATGGAATAACTGGGGTCTGTAGGCTGGCCAAGTGAACACATAAACCTGAGCCTCACAGTGGCCTAATCAGTAGGGAAGCTGAGGAGGAATTTGGACTTAGACCAGGGGGTGTAGGGCCTGGGGATGCTGGGGGCTCCAGTGGCTGCATGCAGGTCCTTTCTTTCCTACCCCTCTCTCCCTTGGTTCTCATGGTTCCTGCTCAGGCTTACCAAAGGCATCAAAAGCCCATCTCCCCTTCCTGGGAACTCTGGATTTGGGGAGGCAGGCTCTGTAGAGGATGCCTTCTGAAGGGCACTGTGGCTGGGATTGGTAGCTAGGGCTCGGCTTGCAGAAGCCATGACAGGCTTCAGATCTAACCCTGCTTTGGCCACTGACTGACTCTGGGGTCCTGCACCAGTCCCTGCATCTCTCTAGAAATGATGGAGGCTGGACCCCACTTGCTCCACAATGGGGAAAAATCAGGTGACCTGAGAGCCAGGGTAGTTCTCACAGGCAAAGTTTCTGAACCTTATCTCTTCTCCTAAGTTGCTTACAGAGTAGCAGGGAGAAGGCCTCGAAACCAGCCAACAAGATACAGCAGGAACAGAAGGTGCTGGGTCCAAGGCCTGAGCCCAAAGAGGGAGTCTGGCTCCACCCCCATGTCCAGATATATCTTCCTTGATCTCCTACCCCTCAAAGAGCTGATTTTCCAAGTGCCTCCTCTGTGCCCTTCTCCCTGTGCATCCTTGGCCATAGCTTATAAGTGAACAACTGGTTGTGATGGCAGGAGGCCCCCCTAGCATCAAGGAGGAGATGGAAATGTCTATGGCCAAAGAACTGGCTCCTGGAAGCCGTGGGCAAGGCCAAGAGCACCTGGTGATAGCAGGTGAGGTTCCTCTGAAATATTCCTTCCCTTGGGTGTCTACACCTGTGTGTGTGTGTTGGAGAATGTGCATGTGTGGCCGGGCAGACGCTCATATATATGCATGTATGTATTTGCATGTATGTGTGGGTATGTGTGCATGTCTGTGCCTTGGTGTGCATATGCATGTATTTGTGGCTTGAATGACAGGGGAGCTAGGGGGAAAGGGATTGATGATGTGAGCATTTTGCACCCCTGAGGGAGGAGGATGGGACCAACGTGTGTGGTCCCTTGGTCTCCCCGTCGTCTAAGCCACCACTATGTCTATTGCAGAACATTAGGAGGGCTTAATTTATAAGATCAATCAGATCAATTCTCTCTCCTAACTCTCCGGTGCCTTCTGCCATTTAGAGTGAAATCCAAACTCCTTACCACGATCTACAGGATCCTATCAAGGTCACTCGACATATTTCATGCTGTGGCATGGTGCCCCACTCCATACTGCAGTTATGTTTGTCCTTGTGACACCCCAACACTGGTTCTTCCTCACAGCCTTTGTGCTTGCTGTTCCTTCTGCCTGGATGCTCTTTCCCTAGATTTTCCATGGATGGGCTCTGTTTCTCTTTCACATCTCTGCCTCAATGTTGTTTCCAACTTTTCTAGACGTAGCCCCTTCCTTCCATCATCTTGCCCTATTTTTATCATTTTAGAAGCATATATCTCTTGATCTGAATCTACACTGATGGATTAGTTTCTGTTTTGCCCCCTCACTCCTCCTATACACACACACAATCAGTTCCTTGATTTCTGCAATGCTGTCTCTTAGTCATTGCTCTTTCTCCAGTAACCTAGCTCGGAGTTTTGCCCTCAGCAAATACTTGCTAAACTTTTAAACAGATGAACAAACTGAGGCCTGGGGTTGACCAGTAGACAGCAGTGAATGAGTGTTGAATGATTCCTAAGAAGTTTGGGGACCCTATCCTTTCTGGTATGTGCTGTGCCAAGGAAGCCTTGGTACAGCCTCTATGGGTGTTCTGGGGGCTTCTGTTATTTTTCCTAGAAATAATGGAGTGTGGGTCCCGGTCCCTGGGTACCTCTCAGCGGCAACAGAAGTTGGATCCAAAGGCTGCTGGCTCTGCTACAGGCCAATTGGTTTGGAATATGACTGCCACCCAGCCCAAGAAAGGGGTACTGTATGGGGCCCTTGGCACATGGTGACTGGGTTGGGGTTGGGAGTACTGGCTGTAGGGGCTCCACTCTGACGATGGTAGGTTGAGCAGGGCCAGATGTTGACTTGGGGGGCGGAGGAAGCTTCTGTATACCAGGTAGGTAAACGAGGGCAGGGAGGTCCAGCGAGAAGTCAGGGCCATCCTTTGACAGGCTGGGAGTTCAACCTTGGGAGTCCAGAATGCCTGAAGCACGTATAGCTTGGGGAGTACATATATGTACTTTACTCTGTAAAACTCTAGTGTGTGTGAAATGACGCTTTCTATTAAAAATATATATATTTCTCTACATATATATCTATATTTTATATATATTTCTACATATATATAAATATAAATATATATAAGTGTATATATATATATATCTCAGGGTTGGGACAAGGGTAAGGCGAGTGAGGTTCCTGTGCTCCCTGGCTGTTAGGAAATCCAATCAATTGAACCTGGCCTTTTTGTAGCCAATCCTGTAAGCTGCATTCAATGTGAGTTAGGGAATGTTCTAAAAAAAATGGCAGCTATACTGTTGCAAAGGATACTGGGAAAAGGCAGCCATTTTGGAGAGGAGGGATACCTGACTGTTCTAGGGATTCACCTGAGTCCTGTTATTCTGTAGCCAATCCTTTAAACTACATTCACTGTGGGTGAGGGAAAGTTTTAGAAACATGGTTATTACACTGTTGCAGAGGTTACTGGGGAAGGCAACATGGTTGGGGAGGAGGGAGACCTGAATGTTCTAGGGAATAGGTTACTGTAAATGCTGAAATGATTCCACCCCCAAAGAGAAAAAGAGCTCCCAGGTCAGAGACCTCCTGGGAATTAAAATGAACCAGAAATATTGAATCAGCTTCCTGTGTCCAAAGACTGAAGCCAAATCAAGTTGCTTTAGCAAGTCAGGCTCCAGCAAGCCACCCATGCCCCTGAGACTGAGGTGGCAGGCGGTGGTGGTGGTATAATCTCTGGATTAATTAAAGTTACCTATTAAGACCAGAGGAGTACACTTTTAAAAAATAGAGTTGTTATATTAAATTTAGAAATTAAATTTAGAAATTTAGAATTAAGAAAATTATCAATTCTATTTATTTATTCATTATTTATTTTTGAGTAAAAAAATTCATGGAACTGTTATTGCCTTTGAGAGAACCACAACATGAAAGAACAAAAAAAATAATAATATTATTATGCTGATTTGAGTAAAAAAAAGTAGTGTGCCTTAAAAAGTACATGAAAATGAAAATAACACTTTTGAAGTAATTAACTGAGAGAAGCTGGAATTTGCTGCAGTTCATAGATTTTCCTAATCTCCATCAAATTTGCATAAAAGTCTTCTGTCTTACAATGTATATAATTATAAATAGAGGGTTTCTAAAATTAAAAACAAAAAAGTAACAAGACAACTGTTTTTGAACAGTTAAACCTGTCTTATGATGTGTGATCACAGTAAGTTATCATTGACTTGCAGATGTTGTTAAATTAATTCTTATCATATTGATGTGCTAAAAACAAACTATGTTATCACAAACAAACTCCAGCTGCCAGTCACTCATCTTAATTTTGCCTTCAAACCTCTCAAAAAACTTTTTGTCCTTCAGATCTCAATCTACCTAAATCAAGGGGATGGTGTGGAAATTGTTCTAGGAGAGACTCTTGATCGACTCCCCCTTTATAGTCTTGGGGTCTTCTTGACACCCACTGTCCATGTAATGCAATTTTTTTTTTGCAATTGCCATGGAAGCCAGAGCTTTATTTATTTTATTTTTTGCTGAGGAAGATTCACCCTGAGCTAACACCCACTGTCAATCTTCCTCTTTTTGTATGTGAGTTGCCACCACAGCATGGCCACTGACAGATGAGTGGTGTAGGTCCATGCCTGGGAACCGAACCTGGGCCGTGTAAATGGAGCATGCCAATCTTAACCACTAAGCCACCTGGGCTGGCCTCTTTTAATCCTGTTTTTGAGGTGTATTAAGAAGAAGAAGAGGAAAATAGAGTATGATTGTGAACTACTGTTCACACAAAAAATGTCACACCCATATCTGTGTGCACTTTGGAGAAAGATTCATTTTGCATTATTACAACAAATGGAGCATGGTGGCAAGGCTGCAGATCTTTCTCAGGTGACAGATGAGCCTTGGTTTTCTATTTCTTTTTAAGATTGAGGCAAATACAAGAGCCAACCTAGAACTCTGAGTTGTGGTGAGGCCTGTCAGATGGCACGTTCTACTTCAGCAGGGTGGGCAGGGGAGGAATGGGCCGTCATGCAGGGGTATCCTTAAATGATGGTTCTACTTTGTGGCACTACCACCCCCGCTTTCCCATTCATTTAGTTCAGGTTTGCACTTGGGGGTAAGTGCCTGGCTGCCAGCCAGGTGGGGTGAGAGGGATGGATGTCTATTCCCTGTACAGACCTTCGGTTAATGCTCCTGTGTTCCACCCTGGTTCTTGAGACCACTCCAGTGTTCCTGCAGCCTCCAGATCTGGGTCCTCTCTGGGTGCTGCGGGTGGGAGCTCCCTCCTCAGCTGCTCCCCATCTGCTTCCCCACCATGCGAGGCCTGCTTCTCTGGGGTTCGTTAGCAGCACTTTCTGAATTCCACAATCTTGTTGAGATCTTTCGTTCTCTGTTGCCTCTCCCGTTATGTTCTTTCTTATGGGTTTACACCATTTTATTGTCTTTGCTGTCACCTTAATGGAGTCTTGAGGGGAAGCAATGTCAGATACGAGAGGCATGATAGTGTAATGGTTAAGATCACAATGCCCCTGGGTTCACATTACTGTTCTGCTACTTACCAGTTGTGGGACTTGGGCAAGTTACTTGACCTCTCTGTGTCTCAGTTTTCCCATCTTTCAAAATGGGGTGATGGTAATGCCCGTTTCGGAGGGTCATGAAGAGGATTTAATGACTAGATACTGGTAAGGGCTTAGAGGATGGCATGTGTAAGTGTGTGTTAAACTAGCAGCTTGTGAAATATTTCATCTTGCACTGGAAATCTAGAGCAGAGATTTGAACCCAGGTGGGTCCGGCATGTTCTGCTTCTCTAGCCCACACTAGCTCTTCAAGGCACTGCTCTTCCTTCGCCGTAGTCTGGAAGGCCTAAAGCTACTGAGGAGCATGGTGTGGCTGGAGTGGTGGCAGGTGGCCAACTTGTGGGGTTCCCAGGCTCTTCTGGTGGTCTGAAGCTGCCAGCCCCTGATTCCAGAGGATCAGGCCCCATGTGACTCCTGATAGGGTGCACCATTGGTCCCAGGTAAAGTGTAGGGCAGCCGCTCAGCTGGGGCTGAGCAGGCTACTTTGACTGACTGTTCCTTTCCTTAGGGGCACCAGCTGCCAATGCCCAGAATGTCGAGAGAACCAGGCCATGGTGATGCCCATCCTCAGGAGTACCCTGGTGGCTTCCAAGGCATGAGATTCCATTATGAGCGGTAAGAAGGATCCCAGGGATGCTCTGGGAGGAAAGCTGGAGCTCTTTGGGCAGGGACTGGGGTGGGCCAGAGGGGCCGGCAAGCAGACTGGCCAGGAAGGAATTATAAGCAGCTGGTCATTCTTGGAGTGTTGGTGCCCTATTGCCACCTCACCACAGCCCCAGAGCCTCTTGGCCCCTTGCCTATTCAGGGCCTCTGAGTGCACTTTGTGGCTGGGCTGGGCTGGGCTGGATCCAAGCCCTCAGGCCTCAGGACCTGCTTACCAGAGACGGGAAGGACTCAAGACTGACAGAGTCCCTGTCCAGAGAAGCCCCTGACCTTACCCCCTTATTCTCATGGCCTTCTTGTGCTCCCTGCCAGGCCTGGCCTGGGACCACCAACAGCTCTGACCCTCTGTCTTTTCTTATTGCCCAGCAACCCAGAGGCAGATATGATCACAGAGATTGGCCTGGAAGAGCTAAATGGACTGGAGATGGAAGTCATGAGAAGACAGGTGAGCATCTGCTGTGCCAGGGCCCCACTTGGAGGGTGGAGGCAGAATCATGGTGTCTTGGGAAGGGTGAGTCTCTACCATGATGAGGCCCACTAAGGTTTGCAGTCCTTCCAATTGTCTTACCCTCCCCTCTCCTTCCTCCCAGTCTTTATGGCTCCAGTGTCCCTTCTTGATGTCTAGTCTCAAACCTGCCTCTCTCCATGAGATGAGAGATGGGAACAAGGGAGAGAAAGAGAGGAGAAAGAGGCAATGTGACTATGTGGAGAGAGTGGCGCTAAGAGGTCTGAGAGAGGGGTCCTCTTGGTTGAGAACAAGCCCAGGTCTTCTTAGGCAGAGACCACAGTAGGCACGGGCATGGGCACAGGCATGGAGGGGCATCTGCCCTGGTGGCCCTCTCTGGCCCCTGAGAGTCACCCCATCCTGGGGCCCTCACTCTGGTGCTGCCACCCCCACGCCAGCCTGTCCCAGGATTGGAGTGCCCTTCCCTGGCTCCCCCGGCACAGCTGGGATAGGCTGGATTCTTCCAGACAACTGGATGTACCCCAAGGAGGGGCAAGGCAGCTGGGCCTGAGAACACAGGCAGCCTGGCCCTTGGTCCTGCCAGGCCCACCCCAGCCCCCTGGTCTCAGCTGCTCTGGCTGCTTCTCACCCAGAGGCACTTTGGCCCCCTAAAGGGCAGCAAAGCCTCTTCCTGTTCTAACTTCATGTTGTTTCCCACTGGTGTGCCATGGGCTTTCCCAGAAGAGCCTTGCTCACCAGCCCGCTCTTGGTCTCTCTGCAGCTGCGTGTGATCACCGAGCGTCTGTGTGCCCTGGAGGACCAGGGCACCACCTGGCGCCAAAGGGAAGCTCTATTCTTCACCATGATGTTGTCGGCCTGCATTGCCAACCTGTGGCTGTGGATGCGCCAGTGATGCTTCACGCTGCGGTGCCGCCGAGCCCTCTCTCCCTTTCCCTTCTTGTCTTCTCTCCTTGAGCCACCCTTGTCCACCCTCCTTCTGTCTCCCAGCAGCTCCTAGCAGCGTCAAGGCCATTTTATAGCTCTGGTTAGACACCCACCTGGGGGAGGTCCTAGCTGCTGGGAGGTGAAGGAAGTGTGGTGCTCTGAAGTTCTGTTCCATCCTCTGTGGCTGGGGATTGGCTATGTCTTCCCTCTTTTCTTCCACATAGTGCACAGGGCTCTGCACAGAGAACATGCTCAATAAAAGTTCAGTGATAGAGGCAAACCCTGGTGGCTGAGCTTCTTGCATCCAAGACTGATGTGGGGACAGCCCCTCCGGACTAAGGCCCTGTTTATGGGACTGGACTAATGCCCCTGCCACAGGACCCATGGTTCTCTCCTCCCTCTCAGGCCCTTCGCCACCGTCCCCAGCCCAGGCAGGGGGCCCCCTCTGGGGCAGGGCTTGGCAAGGTTCTTCCTATTGGCCTCATGCCAGTGAGTGCTTGTGGAGAAGCAATTCTACAGCGGCTTGTCTGGGTCAGGTGTCACAGGAACTCAATTAGAGGAAATCTCCTGGAAGGGACCAGAAATCTTTCCATTTGCCCAGGAGGAAATTGAGTCCCAGGTTGGGGGAACATGGCCCTGGGGTCATCCAGCAAGACAGGGACAAGGCTGGGTCTAGGATGGGTTCTCCTGAGTCCCAGCCTAGGGCTCAGACTGCCTCCTGCAGTCTCCGGCTAGGGACAAGACCCCGACTCAGTTTTGGAGGCTGGATGGCAGGCCACATGGGGGGCCTTTGAACCTCTCTCCCCTATGTCCACAGCCCCATGAAGCTCACCTAAGACAGGGTGGATTGCTGGGTAGGGCAGCGGGTCTCGGCCTGAGTGGGCGGGAGTGTCACTGCTTGGGGCCCGACCACAGGGCAGATGTGCTGGGCTGCAGGAGGCCTTCCAGAGAGCTAAATACACATTTCTCGGGGGGCAGGGACCCAAAATGTACTCATCAGCTTTAGTGGCTAACGGGACCTTCCTTAATCCCTCAAATCTGTCAAGGCTTCTCCATCTATAAAGGTGAGAGGGTGTCTTAGTTACTAGATATAAACATGACTGCATGTATGTGTATGTGTGTGTGTGTGAGAGAGAGAGAGAGAGAGAGAGAGAGAGGGAGAGAGAGAGAAAGTGGGAGGAAAGGGAGGCATAGAGAGAGTGACAAAGACAGAAAGAGAGGGAGAGAGGGAGAGAGAGAGAGAGAAAGACTTGAGTCCTAGAGCCTACCCTGCCTAGCCCCTCTCTGGTCTTCAGTGGCCCTGGTACAATGAGGGGGTTCCTCCACTCCTGACTCTGGGGCTTGCAATACTTCTGAGAGAAGGACGCAGGCCTCCTGTCAGCCCCACAGGAAACCATGCACACAGCCGCTGGAGCCTGGGCCCTGCTGAGAATGGAGACTTAGTGAAGAAACAGTTGAGAGAGTCCCTCTTGGGTCCCAAGCAGAGAGGATAATGGGGTACAATAGGAAGGCCCTCTGCAGAATGGGGAGAGAGCAGTACCTAGACACAAGTGCTTCTAGTCGGGAGAGTCAAGAGGCCCAGGAAAAACCTAGAGCCTTCCTGCCCCTTCCAAATGACAACTGGAGCCCTAGGAATCACCCGAGGGCTAGAGGGAAGGCTGGGGGACCTTCTTGCAGGCCACTCCTCCACTTCCCGCAGCATCAGGACAGACCAGAGCCCAAGGTGCAGGGAATTCTTAAGGGAAGCAGCCCACTCATTCAAGTTCAGAGAAGGGCAGGACATGTGGCTTCCTGCCGCCAGCCCCAAATCCCCATGCCTTTGATGGCATGGAGAGCAAGCCAAGCAGAGTGGAGCGGCCTGGAGTTAAGGATGCCAGGAGGCCTGCCCTCGAGTGGCCCTCAAAAAGCTGCACCTTTCTTCTGCTTCAGCTGGGCCATGCAGGAAAGCTCAGAGGAAGACAAGGCTGCTGAGGGGCAGGGCAAGGCCTTCCCTTTGGGATATGTGTGTGCATGTGCGTGAGCAGACACAGACATGTTTTCAGAAAAAGCCTGGTTGAAAATATGTTGTGAAACAAAGGTTTACCCTTGGGAGCAATTTAGCTGAGATGCAAACAAACAGTGTGGTGGCCCCTGGAGAAAAACCTCCTGCGCTAGGTGAGCTAAGGTGGAGTCCTTGCCTTGGTCCTGGCTGCCCCTCTACCCTGCCCCGCCGTGTGACTGTTTGGTTGTTCCTAGCCCTGACCGCCTGCTCCATCTCCAGAGGCCTCCAGAGGAGAAATGGAGCCAGAGCTGCCCTGTGTTGGCCTCCATGGCAGCCTGGGAAACAGGCAGTGGGCCCCTCTGCAGGGTTCCGTGAAGGGCTCTATGGTGGCGGCTGACACCTCCTGCCTGGCCCTCTGACTATAATCTGGGGCATCTTCCCCTTGATGCTATTTCCCCACCAAGCTGCCCTGGCCTTGCCCAAGCATTCCAGCATGAACCCAACCCATCTCCCAACAAGGCTTAAACTTCCCTGTGGACAAGTAGAGGAGAGAGACTCAATACTTGCAGGTTGGGGAGAGGGCTCCTCTGCAGCATGTTGTTTATTGTTCCTCTGTGAAACTTCCCGTGGGCTGCCCAGATTTGGTAGGTAGGTAGGTAGACTTAGAGGGGTACACAGCCAGTCCCCCGGTGGGATCAGGAGCTGCTTGAGGGCAAGGGCTAGCTTCCATTGTCTTCCACATCCCTGGCACCCAGCAGAAGTAAAGGGCTGGCAAGATATCCTCTGAACAGAGAGAATTCTGGCCTGATTGCCTCCTGAAGGGAGGGCTGGCCTTGCCTTGGGCATACAAACCTGACCTTTAGGGCATGCCCTCTGTGGAAAGACCTTCTGCATAAAAGTAAGTCAGTTCTGACCACTACTTTCTCTGACGCACCTAGTATGTGCCAGCACATTGCATTTAAAAAAATATTTAATTACACGAGTCCTTCTTGATGATATCCTCCCCCAAAAGGCAAACATTACAGGTGTAGCTAACAAAGCCCCTTGTCCCCCAGTGTCAAGCCCCTCCACAGAACTAACTCCCATGATTGGCTTGGTGTGCATCCTTGCAAACTCTCCCTGTCACATGCAGATATGTATACCTGTATGTGCTCCAGGCTTTGTGTACAGGACCTCATATATGCTGCCCCCTGCAGCCCCCTGAGAGAGGTGATGGTCCCCCAAGCCTTGTGTGTAAGTGGGGAAAGCTGTCAGCCTCTGGTTGTGCCTGCCCCCCTGGGCTGGTCCCCAAATCCCCGCCAGCCCTGGCAGAAGCTGAAACTCAATACTCCAGTTCTTCTGTTGCAGGTTAGCTTCTCAGCAGCTGTGGAGAGGCAGGCCAAAGACTGTGGGCATGTCGGGTGGGAGATGTGAGGATGCGCAGAGTGGGGCTCTGTTGTACCTTGAAGCAGTCTGAAATCCTGGCCTCTTGAAAAGAACCCAATGACTCACCACCCAAGGGCTTTCGCTAGCTTTCCCTTTTTTAGCCCCAGGGCCTCTTGGAGGCTATGTCCAGGGAATTCTGGAGGGGCAGGAATGGATTCTCGCTGACCCCTGCCCCACCTGAGATACCACTTCTTTTCCCCCGAGTTTCTCCCTGGCTTGCCCTCAGGCCAGGTAGGCTGGCCCGGACTGTGACCAAGGCTGGGAGGCAGGTGCATGGGGGTGGTGAGCTGGTGGCTTTGAGTCCCCAGACACAAAGCCCTGAGTGATGCATGCTCCATGTAAGGGAGGACTCCTCAGGGAGCTTGGGAGGGGCTGGCTCCTGAGTCTGGGCAGAGAGGCAGCTTCCACAGCCAGGCGGCCCAGCATCCAGCCCTCAGCTGCTGACAGCCTGGGGTGTGTGGGGCCCACAGTGAGAGGGTCAGGTGTCCAACCAGCAGGCAGGACAGCTTCTCTAGTGGGCAAGTGCCACCCCAGGCCAGCGTCTCAAGCTTGCCTCAGCCGTGGGCATGAGCTCCTCTGGGACACTGCCAGACTCCCCTGCTGGTGTCAGGCAGGGTGGGGCAGCTCTGTGACTAGGAGGCTGCCAGCTACGTGGGGATTCAGGGACCCCACTGACCTGGGGACAGGAGTATCAGGAAGTCTCTGCCGGCTTTGGGTGCTGATGAGCCCCCAAGGCCTCATCTCAGGTTGGAGGCTTCATGGACGGACCAACAGATGCTGACTGTGGCCAGGGCACACCCTGCCTCTGAAGCCGTTTGATTGGTGAGAAAAGGGGCTGGCATTGGGCTGAGGCAGCCATTGACAAAGGGCTGACACCTTTCTGTGGCCATGGGCTAGTGGCCTCCATGGGGTCGGGGCTGGAGTCCATGAAAGTGTGCAAGTCCTAGAACTGGGCTTGATGTGGGCCCTCGTGTACCTGGTCTACCTAGGGAACTGAGGGAAAGTGGCTGTGTGGGAAATCTTTATCTCTTGTCAAAGAAGCTGAATGAAATCTTGCGGGTTCTAGAAATATGGAGGCACTGAGTGCCACTCTGGGCTCACCCCAAGGCAGCTGAGCCTTTGTTCTTCCCTAGGAGGGTGGCAGGGAAGGTGGATGGAGGTTTTGGAGAGGAGGGGCCAAGGGGCCAAGGGGCTGCCTGGCCAGGCAGTGTTCAGTGGGAGAGAGGGAGGAGTCTGTGGGCTTCACCACCTGCACCTGCCTCCACTGCCTGCCTGGCCCAGGGCATTTCTGGGCATCCTGGCCTCGGTGCGTGGGCAGTACGCCCCTTGGAGCTCCATGGCTCTTTGCATATGAGGAGTAACAGAGGCAGGTGGAGGAGTATATGTGGAGCTTCTTCCAGAAACTCCACTGGGATTGCAGCCTTTGCTTTCATCCCTTCAATCTTCACCCTGGCGCCCTCAGGAAATCCTTGAGGGAGAGCGCCCGCTGCGGGCCACTCAGACTTCAGGAGCCAGCCCCTCTGCCATTTGGGCAAATGTATCTGTAGTGAAACCATTGGAGCTTCTGACTGAGACAAGATTCCAGAGCCAGGCAGCAGGCCTGGGGCAGGGACAGGCTCCCCATTTTGGCCCTGCAGCTGAGCTTGCCCTCCATCTCAACTTGAGCCTAGACCAGCAAGGGTCGGCTTCATCCGTGCCAGACTGCAGCCATAGGAGGAACCTAGTGTTGAGGAGGCCTATTCTCCAGACCACCTGCCAGTGTCTGGGCTGTGCTGGTGGCAGAGCATGGGCAGAGCCCTTAGTCCCACTTGTCAAATGGAGGCCTCCAGGGTAGTGGCTGCCTTCTCCAGAGGGAGGGA